TCTAAATTATATCAATAATTATCGAATATTTTTTATTCCTCATATTTTTGTCTGGGGTTCTCAATTTTGATTTTGTATTCTGGGCCTCTGGGCCCCGTCGCCTCCTCCACCTCCTCATCGCCTCCTCCGTCGCCTCCTCTGGGCCTCCTCCGGGTCTCCTACGGTCCCACGCATACCACGTGAAACGAAAAGGGATATTACCAAATACCACGCCTGCCACATACAATGCCGCGGCGTCACGTACCACCAAGGTGTGTTTAAATCAGACCCAAGCGCGCTACCCACCTGTCACGCGCAGTCCGCGGCGTCACGCGCTACCAGGGCGCGCCTAAACCACACCCAAGCGCGCCACCAGTGCCATGAGTGCCACGCCTACCACGCAAAACACTTAGGGATGGGAAATTGCGCCACGCCTGCCACATAAAACGAAAGAGGATGTTACCAAATACCACGCCTGCCACGCACAGTACCGCGGCGTCACACACGACCAGGGCGCGCCTAAATCAGACCCAGGCACGCCACCCAAGCCATGAGTACCGTGTCTGCCACGCAAAACCGCTTGTGGATACGGGATTAAGCCACGCCTGCCACGCCTGCCACGTGAAACGAAAGTGGATATCACCAAGGGGCGCGCCTGCCACGCACAGTGCCCGCGGCGTCACGCGCGACCAGGGCGCGCGTAAACCAGACCCAAGCGCGCCACCCAGTGCCATGAGTGCCACGCCTGCCACACAAAACGATGATGTGTGACATTGTGCCATGCCTGCTACGCGAAACGACGGTGTATGGGAGATTGGGTCACGTCTATCACGCGAAACGATGATGGATGCGAGATTGGGCCACGCCTACCACGTGAAACGAAGGTGAATGTCACCAAGTACCACGCGAAACGATGGTGTATGTAAGATTGTGCCACGTCTGACAAAGTTGTGTATGTGTGAGTGTGTGTGAAGTTATTGTATGTTAAGTTTGTGTGTGTGAAATTATTGTATGTGAGAGAAGGTATGTGACAAAGTTGTGTGTGGGTGTGTGTGTGAAGTTATTGTATGTTAAATTTGTGTGTGTGAAGTTTTGGTATGTAAGAAAGTTGTGCGTGAATTTATTGTATGTTTGTGTGTGTGAAGTTATTATATGTAAGAAATGGTATGTGACAAAGTTGCGTGTGTGTATGTTAAATTTGTGTGTGTTAGTTATTTTATGTGAGAAATGGTATTGGTATGGGAGGCGGTGGGAGGAGGAGAAGGAGTCCGGGATACAGAATCAAAAACAAGAATCCCATAAAAAATATGGGGAAAAACACGATCAGTGTTAGCACAAACTCCAATGTCTCTTTCTGCGGTACCTATGGATGCTCGAACCTGTCACTTTCATCGCACCGTTGGGTACTTGGAAAATGGATGTCGAAAAATCCGAATTTCAAGTCGAATGATGATGGTGATGAGGAG